GATTGAGAAGTTAATATAGGGTATTATCACATGAATTTTATTTATTTATTTTTAACATTTAGGGGTATTGATTGGATTTGTTTTTCTCTGCCAATTAAAAAATTAAAAGACAGGCTGGGCATGGTGGTGCCTACCTTTAATCCCAGCACTCAGGAGGTGAGGCAGGCAGATCTCTCTGAGCCTGAGGCCAGCTTCATCTGAATTCATCTACATATTGAATTCCAGGCCAGCTGGGGCTGCAGGGAGATCCTGTTTCAACAAGACCACCCCCTCGCCCCCTGAAAAAGAAAAAAATAACATAAAACTGGGTATGGTGGCATACACTTGTAATATCAGCACTTAAACATGGTTCGATAGCACATTTCTGTAGTCCTAGCATTGTGGACACAGTGGCCTGAAAATCAGGTTCATAGTCATTGTTGACTACATAGCATGTTTTAGGTCAACCTGAGCTATGTAAGACCCTGTCTCAAAAATAAAATAAAAACTCCAGCTCTATTTCATGCGGGTTCATCCTGAAATTCTTTTCTGTGGCAAAGAATCCTGGATGTCACTTGAGTAGAGTTTTGTGAAAGGAACTTAAGCCACCACCAGTAGCAGCTTAAGCTGCCCCTGTGGCATTGCAGCTAATTGTAGAAGCAGTGTTCAAAGATACTCTTTGGGGTAGGCGAGCAAGAGGTGCCTGGAAACCAGGCAGGATCCAAGGAGAGGGAAGAGGTGGGGTTAAACGGGAAGTCAGGATTTAGACCCACCCTGCAGCAGCCTCTGATTACTTAGGATGCTCTGCTGCAGAGGAATGTTCCAGCTCCCATACCAGCCTCCCCTCTTTCCACAGTTTGATCAACTCTTTGTCCTTATGGTGTATTTCTAACTGCATCTTCTCATTTTTCTCTGAGAGCAGTAAGTTTTGAAGAAACTTTTGGACATATTATAAGGGAAATCTGAAAATATCCCTGACCTTATGTAAATAGTTTCTGGGCCTGAACTCTTCCCTAGGTACATACACCTTACCGAATGTGTTTGGTTTGAACTCCGTTGCCTACTTTACAGGGTGATGTCCTCATTCCCACCTCTGGTGTTATAGGCCTCAGGTGTTAGAATTACCTGACACCAGGTCCTCAAAGTAGCCTGGTCTTTTGTTGCTCAGAGTGTATAGTGACTATCAGCCCCTGGGTCAACAACATCCTCTGGTAGGATGTGAAGCCTCTTGAGGGAGTGGATAGATGACCTGGGGCTGAGAAGCTCTCCCTCTGTAGCCCTGGCTGGCCTGCATCTAGCTATGTAGTATAGGCTGGCCTTGTCTAGGCTGGCCTTAAACTCAGAGATCTACCTGCTTCTGCCTCTAGAGTGCTGGGATTAAAGGTGTTGACCACCAAGCCCAGCTTTATTTTAATTTTTTGAAGAGCCAGCATACTATTTTATAAAATGGCTGTGCTAATTTGATTAAAAAAATATTCTTGTTCTTTTTCATACATGAGGGAAATAATTACAAAGAATTCTATAAAAATGATTACAGGAATGTAATATTTGTAACATTCTTTTGTAGTCCCAACTTGTAAAATGTTTGATTATTTTGTCAAGGGAATTCAAGTCTTCATTTCCTGCACCTTGTAAACCTTGTTTGCACCAAAGGCCTGCTGCATCTTTGCAATTTGAACTTGAAGGCCCAAAGCTGCCCCCGCCTTCCCTCTTTCCTTGATGTCCTATGTTTTAAAATTAGCTGGCTGTGAAAAATTGTGAGCTTAGACCTTAGCTGATAGGAAAAGACACAGTAGTGTTGCAATAGTTAAAAAGCTATCAAATTTCAGGTTCCAGTGTGATGTGCTTGCTGGATTCCAATGGCTCAGCACACCCTTTTGCAAAAGTAAAACCTGCCTTGCCAAGTTACTTTTCTTTTGTCCAAGTGTTCTGTTAGGTGTCCATGGGGTCCTTGGAACTCAGGTTTTATGTCTAACACATGTGCATGGTGTACTTTGATCACAGCTCCTCTATTATCATCTATCTCCTTTCTCTCACCAGACTTCTTCCCACATTTCCCTTCTTCTTTCTTTCTTTTGTGGCATGGTGTTGGGAGGGGAATTCACTGCATTTATTTAGGATTGTCTGCATAAAGAAGGGGATTATTTACTTGAGTAAGGGCAAATTTCCAGTGGCTACACCATTGAGGAATGCATTCCTCTTCACCAGAAACCATTAACTGCTGCAGCTCTTCAGGGGCACGTAGGTCTCATGAGCCTCTCCCCTACTCATGATGTTACATTGATGGACCCAGTGTTGTTGAGGTTATCACTGTTGCTGTGATTTCTTGGTGCAACAGCCATGCCATTTCCAAAAGAAAGCATTTCACAGATCTCCTTTCCGTCCTTCAGCTCTTAACATTCTTTTCACCTCCTCTGTGATGTGCCCTGAGCCTTTGAGCTGGTGATATATATGTCTGGTTTGGAGCTAAGCCATTAACACTACCTTTCAGCACTCAAGTCTATATTAACTGTCATCCACTGCAAATGGAAGTTTCTCTGACCAAGGCTGGGAGCAGTGCTAATCTGTGGGTATAAACACAGTTTTACTTTGCAGTAATGAAGAATTACGGTTCTCCTTTTGTCATGCCTCTCTCCTCACAAATAAACACTTGTAATCTGCTTTTTGTTTCTTTTTCTCTTCTTTTTTAGCACACCCATTCTCAGAGCTGTGCTGAGGCAGCAGGAAGTCTGTTCTTTGTTGAATTTGAACTCTGGTAGAAATCTGTCAGAATCTAGGCTGTCAAGGAGTCACTGGAAGAGAGTACATATGTGTTCTGCAAATAGTTTTTCACCCTTTACTGCATTACTCCTGGGGATATATACCATGATATGGTTACTTGCCCACGTAGAACCCTTTGTTTTTCTGAGATCCAGGGGTATGTGCATGTGTCCAGATTCCTTTATTCCTGGAGCTTGTGCTTTAGCCTGTATTCCTTCAAACCAACTGTGTCAGAGCTGAGGCACTCAGTGCACAGGCAGACTGTGGACCTAGAAATTTTAGTGAGTTGAACTTGAGCCGCAGATTTTGCTTGTATTGCAATTTCTTGTAAAACTCCTTTAATTGTGTTTTCTTGAATCCCTCCATTAACACAGGTAAGGTATTTATATTGATCTTTCTCCCCTGGTACACATTGAGTAGTATGTGCTATAAAACACTGGTTAGTCATCTGTATAGAGTGAGCTCCCATTTTCTGTTCCCAAGGCCGAGGACCCGGGTTGAAGAGACATCTGTCATTACAGGGGTCTATATCATTTGAGGATGTAGCTGTGGACTTCACCTGGGATGAATGGCAAGATCTGGATGCTGCACAGAGGGCCCTCTACAGAGATGTGATGATGGAGAACTACAGCAGCCTGGTGTTCTTGGGTGAGTCTGACTGCATCTCTAGGACCGCTTATATTCTTCCTGGTGTATGAGTATAGGAATTGTTCCTCACGCTCAGTACTAACTCTGAATTACATATTTTCATTGACATATGATAACAGCACATATTTATAGAGAGCAGTGTGGCTTTGATACACACTTATGTGTAATGGTCAGATGAAGGTAACTGGTAAGTCTGTCAGCTCTGACTTTACTTCGTCTTTAGAGTATTTAAAATCTGATAACAGTTTTGAAAAATTCAGTTCCTTGCTGTCAGGTGTTCAGTACTGCTCTGTAGATGGTAGGAAGGTACTCAGTGCTGCTGTTTGCATCCCACTGTACACTACTCATCTTCCCTCTGTCCCTTTTCCTCTATGCCTTTCTCACACTGTTTTCCTCTCTTTCTATGAGGTCATCTGGAGCTCACAAGTAGGATAAGAACATGTAGGATTTTTCTTTCTGTGCATGATAGATTTTACTTTTCGTGTTAATTGTTTCTGTTGCTGTGAGAGACTACCCTATGAAGAGAGGAGGAAAGGGTTTATTTTGGCTTACAGGTCCAGAGTAATAGAGCCCATTATGTTGGTAAAGGCATAGGAGCAGGGGCTTGAGGCCAGCCTGGCAGTCAGGAAGCAGATTTCCCACATTTTATCACAGGAAGCAGAGAGAAGAAATGGAGTGGGTCTAGTCTGAACTGTCAAAGCCTGCCCCCCTCCACCCTGTGATGTACTTCTAGCAAGGCTTCATGTCCTAGAGCTTTTATAAGCTTCCCAAACAGTACCACCATGGTGACCAGTATTCAAAACCTGTGCCTATGAGGGATCTTTCTCATTCAGATCACCACAGTCTGTCTTTGTCCTTCCTGAGCAGACATAGAAGAAACATCTCTTCACATGTATACAGCGAGTAGATCTCTCCATTTCCAGGTTGGTGAATAAATGAGATTACTAGGGTACTTAGAAAGCAAATGTGGCTCTCGGACAGCTCTTCCACCACAAAATCCAACCTGTGTCAGATTTTTCTTCTTTATGTCACATTCAGTTGGGCAAAAGACAACTCTAATTGGAATCTCAGTTGGATTCATGACAGGCTTATTAAAGAATTATTTATTTATTTACGTATATGAGTGTTTTGTCTGCATGTATGTAAGTGCACCACATGTGTGTAAGGCCTGCGGAGGCCAGAAGAAGGCATTTGATGCTTTGAAACTGGAGTTAAAGACAGTTGTTTACTTCAGTGTGGGTGCTGGGAACTGAACCGTCTGCTGCAAGAACAGCCAGTGCTCTTAACCACTGAGCCATCTCGCCAGCCCCCAGGAATTTTAAGAGCCCTTTAACCATCATTATCAACCCCGATATCTGCTGCATGGTTCTCTTTATTGTAATGACTTTGGGCAAGTGTCTACTCTAGATCATAGATCACAGCTCCCCAGCCTTCACCCAGGGAAATAGCTGTACTATAAATGGCATAATGTCCTCCTTTGTTCTGTCACTGTGACAGAATTTTCATTCATTTTAATGAATAATAATTGTTTATAATTGTCACAAATTCTTTACCTATTCTGTTGGTGAGCATTTGTCTTTTTTTTTTTTATGTATATGAGTGTTTTTCCTGCAAGTATGTATGTGCACCATGTGGGTACAGCCCCACAGAAGCCAAAGGGCGTCAGAGTTATGGTTATGAGCTGCCATGTGGGTGCTGGGACAGGAATTCAGGTCCTCTGCATGAACAGCCAGTGCTCTTAACCACTGAGCCAACTGTCCATCCAGGATGAACACTTATCTTGATGACATATATTGACTTTTGTCAACAATGCTGAGAGCTTCAGATTTCTCCTCAAAATATGTATTCCTCTTTAATGTATTCGCCTACAGTAGGATGTGTAGTAGTTCAAATTAAGAAATTGGAGGACATATTGTACTGTGTTTTATATTTGCCATAGTAATTTATATTACCATCATTGATTTTTGTTTGTTTCTGAGATGGGGTCTTACTCTATATCCCAGCCTGACTTGGAACTTGCTATGTAGACCAGGTTAGCCTCACAAAAAATCCACCTGCTTCTGCCTCCCATTGCTGGGATTAAATGTGTGCACTCTTACACTGGGCCTTACCACAATTATTTATGAAACTTTTCAGCATTAAAAAATTTTTATATCTTAGATTATCATGCTGAATCCAGAGCATTTGGGCACTCCATTTGCCTCCTTAAGCAGGCAAGCCATTTCATACCACATGCAGGAAGACAGCACCACTAGGATTCCCCCATGGCCTCCTTCCCAGACTTTCCCCCTGAGTAGAAGACTCAGCCTTAGCTGTATGTCTGATCACCAAAAGCAAGGACCATGCAACAACTACCATAGCAAATATAGTGTCCCAGACCATATGGGAAAGATAACCACATCAGTATTCACCCATGCCACCACCAGCCTCACATGGGACAACCTCACTTGTATGCCTTGTTATCCTTTGCCAGCACCATGGATTCACTCCTCCACAACTCATCTTTCATTCTTTTGTGTCCTTGGCATGTTCACATGCCAAGTGTGTTGCATGAGACTTCTGGAGAGACACAATACCAGCATGTCTGCTCACCACAGATTTGGAATTACTGCAGACCAAAGTAAGGATTACAGTAGAGTCCAACTTAGTAAGTTGCAACGGACCAGCCCAGACCGGGGCAGTTCAGTCCGATGGGAATTAGTAAGTCAATGAGTTTATTAGGGTTACTTGCAGGAGTATGGATGCTGGGTCACATCTGTAAGCAGGACCATTCAAAAGCAGCCACATCACCAAAAGACACACCGCAACATGGGTGATAACTCACAGCAGCTGTAATCGGGAGATCTTTCTGCATGAGTTGTAGGTGGATGAACAGATTTGAGATTTTTCTCTCTGCCTTTTGGCTGGTCACAGGCTCCTCCCCAGTCAGTTTATTGCATCCATAACCTTGGATAGGTGAATCTTGTAAGTTTCAGCTTTCCCAGATGTGACGTTTACTTGCTGTTCTTTGTTAGTCTCCTTATTCTTTCTTGGAGAGAATGTTTTAATTCAGTGGAAATTATAATGGAAAAGGAATACTGCATTGGTAGTTTGGGTGCTGTGCCATGTGTCATTTTGAAATCATTGTGATGCTGATGTGTATGGTGACCCCCATATATCTTGGCTAGTCAGTGTTCTTTTATATGGTGCATTAGGTTTTTACCTTGACAGATTTAGAATTCTCTTTGTCTTGGAATTTTGCTGGTTTGACTGTAATGTTACCCAGAAATCATTTGTTGAGGAAATCTATTAAGATTCCTGAATCTCTAAGTGTGGGTTTCTCTTATGCTATAAAATTATTTCACTGAATAGACATTTTGGTTTCCTTTCTCTTTTCTTTGGGAATACCTGTAAAGCAAATGCTTTTTTCATGGTGGTACCTGTGTATTAAATGGTTCATCCTTCTTTAATGTACCTGAATTCATTAAAAATAACCAGTTTCACTGGGTATGGTGGTACATGCCATTAGTCCCAGCACTTGGGAGGCAGAGGCAGGCAGATCTCTGATCTCTGTGAGTTTAAGGCCAGCCTGGTCTACATAGTGAGTTCCAGGACAGATGGGGCTACAGGAAGACCCTGCCTCAAAAAAAAACCAAAAAAAACAAAAAAAACAAAAAAAAAACCCCACCAGTTTCTCTCAGAATATTTTTTCCTCCAACCTATGAGTTGAGCCATGATGTGTTTATTTTCATTTTTTGAATTGAGGTCTTCCACTGTAAAATTTTTTGTCTGGTTCTTTTTTTATGAATACACCCTCTTATTCAATTTTTCCTAAATATCATATGTCCTTTTATTGTGTTTTGGTTCCTTTCTTTTGTATGTATTTTCTTAAAAGCATTACTTTGAGTATGTATCATGCCAGTTTATGCTACTTGAAAGTTATATTAGAGTAAGTGAAAATGTGTTAACCCCCTGTAATGAAAGTTTCTGATTCAATGATCAAAGCACAGTTCCTGAATTGGAGCAGTTGTGTTTCATCAGTGAACTTGAGTTAGCACTCTGGCATAATTTGTACATTATTTCTTATTTCTAGAGCATTGCATGACCAAACCTGAGTTAATCTTCAAGTTGGAGCATGGATTTGGGCCATGGAGTGTATCAGAAGCCTCTGTCCAGAGCCTCCCAGGTCAGTGATGAAGAATGAGTTCCATTGCTTGTTGATCAGTGCCCAGGATGGAAAGACTGAGTACTAAGTGAGCAGATTTCTTGTCCTCCAAACTAATGCAGTATTGGCTCCTTGTATGCAAGTAACCAAGTTTCTTAATTGAATGCTGACACCATAAATTTGATTTGCCAGCACTCAAGCACCATAAAATATGAACTGGCAAAGTGAGGACAGAGAAATTCCATCAGACATAGCTATATCCCTATAACCCCCACATCCTATTGAAAGTTTTCAGTGCTAGAGGACATAAAATGCTTCTTCAATTTGTTATTTCTTTTTTTCACCTGGTTTTGATTTGTTATTGTATTCTTCCTTGTATGCTTATTTAATTTGATTTTCATGTTGCCAACAGACTCTTTTATCTTTTGTTCATTACAGTTTCATACAGTCCTTTTCTTTTTGCTTTTAATTTTAATTTTCTAATTCATAAAATTAGATATGTATATGTGATATGTTAGGGAATAGCCTGCCATGTTGAATATGTGAAAGCCAGATGACAACTTTATGGACTTGGTTCTCTTTGGCCACCTTTTTATGAGCTATGAAGATTATATGTAGGTCACCAAGCTGGCTCCTGGTATTTTTATTATGATCACTGGATCTTATTGACAGGACCTTTTTTCCAGGATCATAATAGTTAAAAGTACCAAGAATGCTTCCAGCAAAGTGACCTATTAAGTAAAGGCACTATCTGCCAAGCCTGATGACCTGAGTTTAATCCCCAGGACCCACAAGGTAGAAGGAAAGAACCAAAAGTTGTCTGACCTCCACACCTGTATCTTGGTGCATCTACCCAAATAATATTTTCAAAAAATAATAATAAGAATTCAGCATAAAGAAAGAAGACTGCAAGCTGCAAGTGGAAAATGCTCAGTGAATTTTAAAAAAAATGTCCATTAGCATAAAACATCTCTTATCAGAAACTCTAGATACCAGAAAGCATGGGCTCATGTATTTTTTGATTTTATGACTTGAAAGAAAATAACTGTCCATAAATATTATTTTAGCTAGCAAAATTATCTTTCAAAATCAGAAATCATTGCATAAAAAGCATAAACTCAATAACCTTGACCACTAAGCCCCTGTTGGAGAAGATACTTAATGGAATGCTGCATACATACACACATGGAAGAAGGATGTTGTCCCTATGCAGGTTGGCCCTAGGCTGTATAAGAAAGCAAGCTTAACAAGCTAAAGAGAGCAGGCTAGTGAATGGCATGCCTCTATGATCCATGCTGTAGTTTCTGCCCTGACTTCCCTCAGTGATGAACTATGTTTAGGACATTTAAGCCAAATAGACCCTTTCCTACCCAAGTTGGTTTTGGTCAGTGTTTTATCACAGCAACAGAAAGCTAATAGGACAGAAGTTGGTACCAGGAGTGGGGTATTGCTGTGACAGACCTGATCATGTTTTTTTGTGAGGATTTTGGTAGTGTTTAGAAATTTGGTCCGTAAAAGCCATTGAGTGCACAGAGCTTAATGGGCCATAGTATGGGATCTTAGAAGATATAATTGTTGAGAGAGGTGTACATGGTGAAGGCCTGGCTTGTGAAGTTTCAGAGAGAAGTTAGAGTCCCATAAAGACTATGTAGACTGTTTGTATGATATTTTGAATTGAGAATCTGGTTTCAGTTAGGCTAGGGCTGAAGAATCAGCTCTTGTATTAGTTACTTTTTTGTTGCTGTGATAAAACAACATGACCAAAGCAACTCCATCAGACATAGCAGAAGGCAGCTGAAGCGGAAAGCTATAAAGTCTTGAGCTAGAGAGATGGAACAGCTATTAAAGGCTCAGGCTCACAATCAAATACTTGGAGGGAGAGAGAGAGAATGGATGTGGACAAGGTATATACTCTCAAAGTTTGCCCCCAGTGAACTTCCTCCAGCATGGCCATACCTCCTGAACATCCCTAAACAGCACCACCAACTAGGGACAAAGTTTTCAAATACTTAAAGTCTTGAGCTAGAGAGATGGAACAGCTATTAAAGGCTCAGGCTCACAATCAAATACTTGGAGGGGACATTCATTCAAACTACCACAGCTGTGATTTAGAAGAGACCAACAAAAACAATGAGTCTTTCTGCAAGGAACAATACATCTTAAAATGAAATGGAGATCTTTTTTAAAGGTTAAAAACTCATTCAATTTTATGTCTTACAGGGCTTATACTGAGTTCAGTATTGTATAACTGTATTAATTCAACTGTGAACCTAGACACTTATAGCCACTTGTGAAAGAGATGTACTCTTGCTCTGGAGAGTGTTACTGAATATGTTAAAGCTGTAATGAAATGCTTCTTCTAATCATGTAGTTATTAAAAATTAAAAAAAATGGTTAAAAAAATGACCAATACTGAAGTAAAAACTTTGCTTTACTAGATGGTCCATGCTGGTTAGCTAGGGCTGAAAAATCAGCTGTGATTCAGAAGAGACCAGCATCATTGAGGTGAAATCTTCCAGGAACTATTTTCTCATGGTCAGCACACAGAAGCCATGGTCCATGGTGGTCAAGGCTACAACTTGGTAATGTGTAAGAGTTTCCCATATGGTACTGATTTTGAAGGCATTAAGGGGTCATGGAGAGCACCCAAGGCTTGGTACCATTTGCCAGTGCTGGAGTTCCTGCATAGGCCAAGTCATTGGTGAAAGTGCAGCATCATGAGACCCCATGTATTGGAGATGCCAGGACCATAGGATGACCACTAAAGATAGTGGCAGGTATGGAGTGCAGCTGCTCTGAATTTAGGAGATAAGCTGTGTTAACAGATGGCATAACCAGAGAAATGGAGGTGCCCAATCCTTTTGAAGTTGATTCTCATTCACCTTTTGGTGAGTTTTGAGGATTATATTTAGCTCATCAGGCTTCTTCCTTTCCTTCTTAAGCTCTCTCACCAGCTGTCTTGTTTTTATTTTCCTTTTACTTAACCCTAACCTTATTTTGGCCACATCCCCTGCCATGAATTATTGTGTTTTGCTTTTACATTAATTTTTAGCTTTCCAGTTTCTTTTCTTCTCCATTTATTTGCTTTTTTTTGGGGTGGGGGTGGGGGTACTTTTTGAGACAGGGCCTACCTGTAGCCCCAGCTGGGCTGGAACTCACTATGTGGACCAGGCTGGCCTTGAACTCACAGAGATCCACCTGCCTCTGCTTCCCGAGTGCTGGGATTAAAGGCATGTGCCACCATGCCTGGCTTTCACATGTGGTTTCTATGACTAGTGGTGGTGTATCATTTACCATTTGTTTTTATTTATATTATATCTGATTTATTTTGGTATTTTTGCTTTTATGCAGTTTGCCTTCTCCTAGTAATTTCTCTAGCCATTTGTGGTTATAGATCAAAGGCTGCCGACTGAAAAGAGCCTTTATGTAGTCTGGAAGCCTGATAATTATGCTCCTCCCCCCCCAAAAAAAAAGCAGGCAGGAGCTGGGCATGATGGCACAGGCCTTTAGTCCTAGCGCTTGGGAGGCAGAGCCAGGCAGATCTCTGTGAGGTTGAGGCCAATCTGGTCTACTTAGTGACTTCCAGGCCAGCTGCAGTTATAGAGAGACCTGTCAAAACCAAAAGGGGGAAAAAAGAGAAAAAAAGGCAGGCAAGAGATAACTCTTTCACAATGTGACAACTCTATTTTCTTTGAGACCAGGTCTCCCTGTAGCCCCAGCTGTCCTGGAACTCACTATGTAGACCAGGCTGCCCTTGAAATCACAGAGATCTGCCTGCGTGTGCCTCCCAAGTGCTGGGATTAAAGGCCTGTGCCACCATGCCTAGCACAATGTGATAACTCTAATAACTGAATCAAAAAAAAAAAGTGGATATAGAGGAAATGCCAGGTCTAAAGTGCTTAGAGTCTAGTTTTAATCATAATTACTGACTTGAAAAATATCAATATGATGGACAATTGAATAAAAGAGTGAATTTAACTGAGCTCTTGGAGGACAAAGCTCAACAAATTAAGTGCTCATTGGATAGCAGCAGTGGAGTGGGCCATGTAGAGGAGAAAATATGAGGGGTTGATTAAAAGATTGAGGAATTGCTGCAACCAGATATCACTGAAAGTATAATATGGAGTAACCATGACCACAACACTGAAGAGGCCCAGGCTATGACTAACAGACCCAATCTGGGATTCTGTGATGTAGAATAGGAAAGGAAGAGGGAGAGTAAAGAGGTAGAAAATATTCTGTGAAATTATTGTAATAAATCTACACCAAGAAACCAATATTGAAGGAGTGTAGGCATTTAGAACCACAAATAGACATGACCCAATAGCAAGGATCATAATAGTTATTTAAAAGTACCAAGTATGTTTCCTGCCAGGTGGCTTAGCAGATAAAGGTGCTACCTGCCAAGCCTGGTGACCTGAGTTTGATACCCAGGACCCACATGGTAGGAGAGAGCTCATATCCACAAGTTGTCCTCTGACCTCCACACTTGCACCTTGGTGAATCTCCTTAAATAATATTAAAAAAAATCAAACAAGTGCTGGAGAGATGGCTCAGCAGTTAAGAACACTGGTTATTCTTGCAGAAGACCTGGGTTTGAATCCCAGCACCCACATGGTAGCTAACAGCTGTCTGTAACTCCAGTCCCAGGGGATCCAGCAGCCTCTTCTGACCTCCACAGGCATTGCATGACACAGGACACAGGTGCACTTACCTACATGCAGGCAATACACGCATACACATAAAAAAAAATTAAACAGCAAGAATTCAACATAAAGAAGACCGAAACTACAAGTGTAAAGTGCTCAGTTAGTTTTTGTAAAGTGTATTATAGCATAAAAATCTCTTATCAGAATCTAAATACCAGAAAGCCTGAGCTTATATATTTTGTGACCTGAAACAAAATGATTGTCAATGAATATTAGTCTAACTAGCAAAGTTATCCTTCAAAATCAGATCTCATGCCTAGCATGATGGAACATTCTTTTAGTCTCAGTACTCTGGAGGCAGAGGCAGGTGGAGCTCCATGAGATTGAGGCCAGCCTGGTCTACATAGTTCCAGGCCAGCTGGGGCTACAGGGAAACTGTCTCAACAACAACAACAACAACAACAACAACAACAACAGCAACTCAGAAATCAAGACCTTACATAAAAAGCATAAACGCAGTCACTCCATGACCACTCAGCCCCCATTGGGGAAGATATTTAATGAAGTGCTACACACATACATACCTGGAAGAACAGCAGATATAATCAATAGAGCCTGGCAATGAATTAATTTCACTCTTCGAATAAACCAGTTCATAGAAAGAATGAAACATTATCTTAGTAAACTGTTAAATCCACTAAGGAGAAAGATTTAGTGCATATTTTTCAGTAAAAACCCTATGTTTAAGTCATAACTTCCCAGTTGAGATTCATAGTGGTAAACTGCATCAAAAATATACCCATCAGACATAGTGTTGAATGTTTTTAATCTTAGCACATGGGAGACAGTAATAGATAAATCTCTGAGTTGAGGCCATTTTGGTTTTCATTGTGATTTCCAGGCCAGACACAGCACAAGTGGCTGAGAAATACTTTAAAAATGTTCAACATCTTTAGTCATCAGGGAAATGCAAATTAAAACCATTTTGAGATTTCATCTTACCCCAGTCAGAATGGCTGAGATTAAAATAAAAAAAAGGTGGAACTAGAGAGAAGGCTCAGAGGTTTCAGAACACTTGCAGAGGACCTGGGTTTGATTACCAGCACCCTCATGGTGGTTAGCAACTATGCATAACTCAAGTTCCAGGTGATCCAATGCCCTATTCTGACCTCCACTGGCATTGTACAACATGGGTGCACTTCTATACATGCAGGCAATATAGTCATACACATAAAATAAGAATAATAAAGTATATAAAATGTTTTTTTGTAAACTCTAAATGTAAAATTTCTGCCTAACAATAACGCAGTAACCAAAATGAAAAAACATCCAATAGCCTGAGGAAAAAACCCTTTGCCAGATATACATACAACATGGGACTAGCATTGAGAATATATGAATAAGGAACTCACACATTTTTGGTGATAATGTGGAGTTGTCCAGCAACTGTGGAGTTTGTTTCAGAAATGAACAAAGATCTATTGCATGATGCAGCTGCTCTGCCCCTGGCCATATCCATGAATGAATTAATATAAGGATACAATAGCTGTACCTACAGTGCCATGTATACTAGAGCATTAGTCACAATAGCCAAGATTTGATATCATCCTTCCTACCCATCATTGGATTCGTCTGTAAGTTGAGGTTTATTTTAAAATGCTACTATTAAGACATAAAGAAGTATCAGATCATGGTATTTATAAGAATACAAATGGGGGCCAGGTGTGGTGGTGCACCCCTTTATTCCCAGCACTTGGGAGGCAGAGGCAGGTGGATTTCTGAGAATTCAAGGCCAGCCTGATCTACATAGTGAGTTCCAGATCAGCTGGGATTACAGGGAGATCTTGTCTCAAAAAGACCAAAAAGAAGAAGAAAAAGAATACAAATGGAAGTGCACCTTTTCATGTAGGAGAAGTGTGTTAGAATCAAAGTTAAAAATACCTTGCTTTGTCCCTTATGTTGAATATAGATTTAAAGTCAAAGTCAAGAAATATAAATTTGGGATGATTCAGTTAGAGTGGTGAACCATTTGGAGGGAGAGAACTGAACAAATAATGATCATGTTGTTTAGTTAATACATCAGGAAAAAACAAGAAAGTTTTTCATTTGAGCTTTACAGTTATACAGAGCCAAATGCAATTGGTAATGAACTTTTTGTGGCTGTTTAAGTTTACTACTATTGTACAAAACATATAGTTCCAAGAGGAGAATGATATGTATAAAACATAAGATGAATTAAAGAATGTGGGGGAAGCTATCTTCTACTTTGGAAGGATGGTAATTTGCTTAAGAAACCCCAGGGAGCATTCATAGTGAGGCAAACAGAATGAAACACATATGTATGGGAATCTTTGCCTTACCCTGTTTAGGAGAAAGAATATTGACAATGCCAGCATGCTAAATATAACTAATAGAAGAAGCTTCCTATTTCAAATGTGGAAAATGTGTGATGTACAGTGCTATGTTATGTATACTTATAATAGAGAAAGGGAAAATAGCAGGTAAAAATTACCATGTAATACCTACAGCTGAGATATAGGATAATAATTTATCTCTACATGTTTTAACCAAGTGAAACAAGGCCATAAAGAGTTGTGACTTAGCTCTACATTATGTATTAGTATCATTTGTTATATTTAGTCATGGAAGACTAAAATGGTGTGCGCTTAGTTTAAGTGTACATTATTTTACAAATTTCATGACAATTGGGGGGGCACTTTTATGTTTGTATTGCATAAAAATGATTTAAGGGTGATTTATGGTAAGTAATGTTTATAATTTCATTTTAGATACTCATAAAGTGACTCCCATGATGGAAACTACCCAGGAAAATGACAATTTGTGGCAAGTTGGAATCACTAATAATAATACATTCAATGAAGAGATTGTTGAAGTAAGTAAACATTGAATGTGAGCTCTTAATGTATTTCAGATCTGAACACAAGGAATGGAAACACTCTGGAATGTTTCCTTGAGAATTTCACTGAAGACTGGGGAGGTAGGTTAGTTGGCAAACTGCTTGGCATGCCCACATGAAGACCCAGGTTTGAATCCCCAGCACACTTGTATAATGCTAGCTGTTTTAGCATGCACCTATGCCTCAGAGCTTGGAAGATGGAGAGATCACCATCCCCAGTAATCCTCTTTCTAATTTGGTAAGCATCAGGTTTAGTGAAATGTGTGAAGTGATTGAAGACTCATACTTGTCCAATATCAGAAAGCACATGCCTGGAAAAGCCCCATAGGTATAAGAAATGTAATCAATTATTTTGTTTCTAGGCAGACCTAAGAGGGCAACAGACAATCCAACAGAGAAAATCCTATGAAGGCAAAAGATGTGTGAAGATGTTTTACCAGAAGTTACTCCACAACAGAAATCAGGTGTCTCACACATGTAAGTAAGATTTCAGTTAGTTTTCATTCTATGTCAGTCGAGTCAGTGTCATAGGGAGGAGATACCCTCTCAGCATTAAGAATTAAGGAATGCTTTGTCCTTCAAGTTGCAACTCACTGTATATTATACAACTCATACAGGTGAGAAGCCAGATGAGTCTCCAGAATGTGCGAAAGTTTACTACAATTTACAACTCACTCAGCATCAGACCACTCATACAAATGAGAAGCTCCATGAATGTATGGAATGTGGGAAAGCATTCTACAAGTCGAATTTTGGTGAACATCAGAAAATACATATAGGTGAGAAGCCATATCAATGTACAGAATGCAAAAAAGCTCCCTCCTACAAGTCAAACCTCACTCAACATCATATAACTCATAGAGATGAGATGCCCTATGAATATAATCAGTGCAAAATAGTGTTCCATAGCAAGTCTGAGTTCACTGTGCATCAGCAAACTCATACAGGCGAGAAGCCCTATCAATGTACAGAATGTGGGAAAGCTTTCAGCTGCAAGTCAAAGCTTATTGTGCACCAGAGAACTCATACAGGTGAGAAGCCCTATCATTGTACTGTGTGTGGGAAAGCCTTCTGTACCAAGTCTGAGCTCACTGTGCATCAAAGAACACATGTAAGTAAGAAGCCTTATGAATGTAAACACTGTGAGAAAACCTTCTGCACAATGTCTGCTCTCAATGTGCATCAAAGAACTCATACAGGGGATAGGCCCTATCCATGTACAGAGTGTGGGAAAGCCTTCTGCCGCAAGACTGACCTCACTGTGCATCAAAGAACTCATACTGGGGAGAAGCCCTATGAATGTAAAGAGTGTGGAAAAGCCTTCTCCAGCAAATCTGATCTCGCTACGCATTTGAGAATTCATACAGGTGTGAAGCCATATGTGTGTGAGCAGTGTGGAAAAGCCTTCTACACCAAATCTGACCGTACAGTACATCAAAGAATTCATACAGGGGAGAAACCCTATGAATGTAAAGAGTGTGGAAAAGCCTTCTGTACAATGTTTGCACTCATTGTGCATCAAAGAACTCATACAGGGGAGAAGCCCTATGAATGTAAACAGTGTGGGAAAACCTTCTGCACAGTGTCTGCTCTTAGTGTGCATCAAAGAACTCATACTGGGGAGAAGCCCTATCAGTGTGCAGAATGTGGGAAATCCTTCTGTCGCAAATTTGCCCTTACTGTGCATCAAAGAATTCATACAGGCGAGAAGCCCTATGAGTGCATGCAGTGTGGTAAAGCCTTCTCTTCAACGTCTGCTCGCAGAGTGCATCAAAGAACTCATACAGGGGAGAGACCCTATCAATGTACAGAATGTGAGAAAGCCTTCCGCAAAATGTATGCTCTTAGGGTTCATCAAAGAACCCATACAGGTGAGAAACCCTACGAGTGTAAACAGTGTGGGAAAGTCTTCGCCAGAAAGTTTAGGTTCACTGTGCACCAAAGAACTCATACAGGTGAGAAGCCCTATGAGTGTAAACAGTGTGGAAAAGCAGTCTCCAATAAATTGGAACTCACTGAGCATCAAAGTACTCATATAGAGAACCCCTTTGAATGTCATCAGCCTTGCCAAGACTTCCCCAGCAAATCTGATCTCACTGAGTGTCTGAGAATTCATACAGATGAGAAGCCCTTTGAATGTAAACTGTTGAAAAGCCTTCTGCAGAATGTCTGCTCTCAGGGTAAATTAGTGAATTCATACAAGTGAGACACTTATCAATGCACAAAATATGGGAAAGAATCAATTCATAACTCAGAAATCAGATACCATGTAAATACAGAAATGTAGGAAGCAAATTTGAGCTCACTTTGTATCAGAGAATTTATTGGGTGAGAAAGCTATGTGAAAGAGCCTTCTTTAGTAAGTCTGAGCTAACTGCATCAAAGAACTCATAGAGGTGAGAGACTCCATAATTCTTACCAGTGTGTAAAAGCCTACACAATCTCTGCTTACAAGTGTACCACAGAACTCACGGAGGTGAGAACTCTGGTCAATTTACATGATGTGGTATTTTCCTGCAGGTATAAACTCATCATCAGATAACTCATAGGAGTCATAAGCCATACTAATTTACAGAATATAGGAGATGTTTCTGTTCTGAGAATGTAATTGCTTGTAGAGAACTCATGCAGGTGAGAGTCCCTATGATTCTAAGCAGTGTAGAAAATCCTTTTAGAGGAAGTTTCTTACTGCAGAGAACTCACAAAATGGGGAAACTCTATGGTTGTGAACAGTGGGGGAAATTCTGCAGCAAGTCTGCACTCACTGTGCATGAGAAAACTCAGGTGAGAGGCTCTATGGGTATAAACTGGGGAAAAGCCTACTACTGCAAGTTTTATCTCATTCAACACCTGAGAACTCACAAAGTGAGAAGTCTTGTGAATACACAGAATATAGAAAAGCTTTCCATTGCGTCACCTCTCATTGAATGTCAGCGTACACATACAGATAATGAAGCCCTGTCAATTTACAGAATGCAAGAAATCATCCTTCTGCAGTTCAGAGCTCATTTGACATTAGATAACTTTGGGGGTCAGGGATGGAGCATTGGGAGGAGCCAGGTGATTAAAAATTTATTCAGCTGCTGGCAAGTGCAATGTTTTATTTTCTGGAGACAATTGCAGAATTCACTGGGCAGGTGACTGCCAGGTGAGATTATATGTCCTTGGTTGCAAGGACATTTTATAGGAAATCACATAAAGGTGGTTTCTTGCCAAAATTGTTTATATAGCAAATTATCACTGTTGTAATCTGTTTTTGTCCCCAGATATCCAATGTCATCCATTTTGTGCTTACTCATAGCACTCCAGATGTCTAGTGTTAGTCATCTTGGCTCATGTCAGATACCCATATGTGTGCTGTGTTGTCTGAATGTGAATATGTCCCCATAGCCTTAATTTCCTTCAGCAGCTCAGGAAAGTAAGAATATAGCCAGGTGTGGTGGTGCACACCTTTAATCCTAGCACTGGGGAGACAGAAGCAGGTGGATGGATCTCTGTGAGATTGAGGCCAATGTGATTTACATCATGAGTTCCAGGCCAACTGGAGTAGTAGGGAAACCCTGTCTTAACCCCCCCCCCCCCAAATGAGAATACCTATGTATGTACAATATTGTAGGAAAGCTTCCTTATTTCAGAAACATCTCAGTTCACATCAGAGAAGTCCCACAGATGAAAAGACCTATGAATGTAAACAGTTGAGAAGAGCCTACTATAGCAAACAATACTTTATTCAACTTCAGAGTTCATGTAGATGAGTATCAGTTGATTGTACTGAAAAATCTTTTTCCAAACTCCCCTCAAGTCACACAAAAAGGAACAAAATATTCTTGAATATTTCATACCTGACATCTTAACTCTTTCAGTGTGTAGACATAAGAATGTCAACTGCCAATACCTTTTTTATTGAAATGCAGCTGGCATCAGAAACCCAACAAGGGGGATTAAGCAGAGGAGTATGTGTATGACGGCATGTTGTCACATTTCATCAGACATTATTAGAATGATTTATCAATGTATCCTATCAATATAAAGATTATAGAAAAGGCATTCAGCCATATTCCTACGTTGTCAGCAAATAATTTAGAAAACTTAGAACACTTAAAAAAATTTTTTTTATTACAACCATTTATTTCGTGTATTTCAAGTGCCACTGTGAATGTGTGGAGATCAAATGATAACTTGGTGGAGTAGGTTCCCTCCTTCCACCATGTAGGTTATTGATATCAAATCAGGTCAGCAGGCTTGGTGTAGTTACTCTTCTCTTTTGAGTCATCTTGCCCACTTAGGAATCCTTTTGAAGTTAAAGGATTGAGTTTTGTGATGTGGTTCACTGAAACACACTGATTATAAATAAAACCAGTCATGGATAAATTGTACTAAATTTAGAATGCCTGTTGGACAAGGACATTTATTTGAATCTGTTCAGTGAAATGAATTTTTGTAATTGTTTAATTTTCTGACAAGGTCTCTAATCATAGCCCATATATGGCTCACTGAGATAGAATACTTAGTGTAAGCATGAGCATTTGTTTCCAGATACTGCGCACCTATGTAAAAAGGAGTGTGCCATTAGTCTACAGTGTTTGACAAAGCTGGAGACAGGAGGATCAATAGGGTTTACTTGGCAGCCAACCTACTTGAAAAAGTGGTAAGGTCCAGGTTTAGTCAGAGTTCCTATCTCAAGGAAATAAGCTAGGGGGCTGGAGAGATGGCTCAGCAGTTAAGAGCATTGGCTGCTCTTGCAGAGGACCCCAGTTTGGTTTATAGCACCCACAAGGCAGCCAACAACTCTCTGTAATTCCAGTTCCAGGAGATCCAATGCCTTCTTTTGGCCTCCACAGGCATTGTACACATGATACAGTCACATGCAAGCAAAGTACTCGTACACATAAAAATAAATTTTAGCAGGGCCTGATTATTCATACCTTTAATGTAACCACTCAGGAGGCAGAGGCAGGCAATTCTCCGTGTCAGAGGCCAGCCTGGTCTACGTAATGAGTTCCAGGCAATCCAGGCCTGTAAAATGTGATCCTGTCTCAAAACAAACAAACAAACAAAACCCAAAAAGCCAAAAATAAATGTTTTAAAACTAAAAGAAAAAATGAAAGCCCTTGTTCTCTACCCATTGCATATATGTGAACACAAGGACAGTTTATGCTTTAAACATTTGATAGTGCCTGAGACATCCAGAGTTTGTTTCATGGATAATAGAATTTTACATTGCCTTGAGGGGCTTCAGCATAACCACATAGAATATATACTGCACAAATATAGGGACTGAACGAGGGACTGTACCTCAGTCCTATGGTACATTCTTTTGCATATGTTTTATCACTACAGTCCCCAATATACAAATGACAGAGAACTTACTGTCTTATCTTTTTTTTTCACTGTACCCAAATATCTGACAAATAATTTAGATAAGCCTCCTGTAAGATTTTAACCTGTTTTGGAACATTCGGACCCAATGCAGCCTTATCCAAATGTCTTTCTTTTGGTTGTCACAGGTAGTAGTATCCTTGAATTAGTTGTACAAAGCAGAGAACTCAGCAGGTATGCCCGTAGATTCCAAAAAGTACTCGTGAGGAATGCCTGTGAAGACCCCTGTAGACTGTGAAGATGCTGAATAGTAGAGGCTATAAGCAGCCAATACTATCAGCAAAAGGCTGCATTGCTGAGATAATAACAAGTGCAAACCCAAGTTATTGAAAGAGCTTCAGATATACATCAAAACTGTCTAATTCCAGCCAATTAGGGGTCCTGTTCAGTGGATAAGAATAGCAACTATCAGTAGTCTGGAAACACTAAGTGGTAAATGGGTGGTCCATATCACAGAAAAACCAGATGGAAGAGAGTCTAGCTATGTGTCTTAGAATACATGGGAATAGTGATAGCCTGCTGCTACATGTGGAGGTCTGTGTCTTTGAAAGCCTGCTACTATAAACTTCTGGGATTCAAAGCTCAGAAGTGCTATGCACAATGGTACAGTGGAGGCCCAGGAGTGAGCTGTGACTGAGAAGTATCCCTTCCCCTCAGAGGCCATCATTTTCAGAATTCCTCATCACATCTCCGTTGATGACAGCTCAGCATACTACTCAGCTGACAAGGTAAGTTAGTTGAGTGAACAGGACAAGCCAACTTGGCAACTAATCCACAGTCTACTCAATCTCACATGGTAGGAACAAGCTCTGCAAAGGGCCTGGTGGAAGCAATAATGCAAGAAGTTGATGGACACCTTTGAGTTAGCTGAGCAAAAGTTTAAGCCAAAGCTCCATATGGTCTCCTTTTGTCTGTAGAAGGAGATGCCCACCCAGTCAACAAATAATATGTGGACCTGGTATGGCTCCTCCAGATGTACTGGGGACACTACTCCCTGGACCACTTCCACAAGCGAGTTCCCAACTACCCCAGGTGATAGACGAGGTGTGAGTGGAATTGGGAGTGATGGCATACTATTACCCATCCAAGAGCTAGCTCCCCTAAAGTGCTCAATGGCCAGCACAGACCTCAGACTGCCAGGGCAGATCCCAAGACTCGTCCATGCTCTCCCAAGCTGCCACACTAGAGGGGCAGTGTTTGCAGTCGTTGCTGATGCTTCATCAGCACTTTCACTTGTTACAGTGCCCTCTCCTAGAACCTTGGTAAACGTCATGGAAGACCATCAAGCTAGGGATGTGATGAGTAGGATACCACTTCAGCTTGCCCAAGGAGAAAAAAGTTGTTTAATCAAGAAGGGAGCAGCTAGAAAGATGACTCAGTGGTTAAGAACACTGAAGGTTCTTGCAGAAGACCCAGGTTTGAATCCCAGCACCCACATGGCAGCTAACAACTGTCTGTAACTCCAGTTCCAGGGTTCTGACAGCCTCTTCTGTCCAGCTCAGGCATTACACAACACAGGTGCACTTACCTACATGCAGGCAATACACGCATATGCATAAAAATATTAAAAAATATTAAAAAATAATTTTTTAAAAAAGAAATAGGTGAGAAAATTGTGGAAACAAATTTGCTCTGGCGCTGGCTGTGGTCCACTTTGTGTACCTTTATCTCTAGCCCTTGGGAGGCAGAGGCAGGCAGATTTCTGTGAGATTGAGGTCTTCCTGGACTACATAGTCACTTCCAGGTGGACTGGGACTAGGTAGACTTGTCAAAAAAAACCAAAAAAAAAAAAAAACCAATAAAAAACCCCCCCAAAAAAAGAGAGAGAAAAGATTGTTATGAAAGTCAATCTAGATTTTGAGGCGAACTCCAGAAGAATGCCAGATAATACATGTGTGTATATAATTCAAGATAAAATCTACCATTAGAACTGCACAGTCAGCTTTGTTTCCAGGATTTGGTGAGGAAATCTTTATTACTATATCTTGAGTCATGACTACTGTTGCCTGAGTTCTCTTGGGGTCTCTTGCATGATCAGACAAACCATATAACATATTTTTATGTGAATTTATTATGGTTTATGCCCTTGGGTAGGGAGGGGGTAAATAGGGGAACTTACAAAGAAACGCACACCCTGCACCGTGTCTGCCCACAGTCTCCGTTAACTTTCACCCATGCATCTTGGGCCCGTAGTCTCGCCCCAGGTCAGTAAATGCCTCCTCTTGTGTCTGTGCCCTCTTTCCATGCCTGTGGTGGCTCGGGCTTCTGTCTCAAGATGGTGCCCAAAGTCCCTCCTCCCGTGGGTAGCTCTTCATAGTCAATTCTCTTCAGCAGGCCCCACCCCTCGGAGGAAACAGGCTGTTCGGAGGAAACAGCTACCAACACAAACACTGTACATTTAAGTGTATTTTTATATTTGTAATATACA